TGTTTAGAGCTTGAGAGATTTGTCCCAATTTTACTTCCAAGTTGCGAATTGATGTGTTATGTGAGGCTAGTTGAGCATCGGAGTCAGCATTCTTCTACATCATTTGTTTGTACATATTCTCAATTTGTCTCATCTCATTGTTGGAAGAACATGGACCATGGGAAGGATAAGGAGGCGGGTTACTCGGTTGTTGATACATCGGGGTCTTTGAAAACCTGACCCCAGATTGCCTTGATTATTGTTCCATCCCCCTTAGTTATTGCCTCCCCAATATCCTTGGTTGTTGCCACTCCAATTTCCTTGGTTATTTGCACCACTCCAATTCCTTTGATTGTTGTCATTTTCCAATTCCCTTGATTGTTGTCACCACTCCAATTACCTTGGTTGTTAGAACTCAAATTACCTTGATTACCTTGAGGCCGCCATTGTTGTTGATTTGGGACTTGAGAGTCGTTTCTTTACCCTTGAAAGTTGTTCATGTATTGCACTTCCTCCTCCTATTCATTGTAAGATTCATCTTGATCAAACCCACTATCCTCTTGCAAAAAATTCTCCACACGGTTTTGCACTTGTGTACCCTTTGGCCTTCTCTTGTTCACCATCATACTAACTCCCTCCATGGAATTGACTTTCTGAAGACTTTGCACTTGTTGAAGTTGAGTCCTGACTAATTGATTCATTGTGGTGGTCAACTCGGCAATGGCTTGCCTATGATCATGCAATTTTTTATGTAGGTGAATCATGTTCGGATCACCTTGAGGAGCATTTTCTCTACTTTGCCATGCCAATGAAGTATCTGCCATCTCATCTAAAATCTCACAAGTTTCCGCATACGACGTTGTCATGAAATTTTCACCAGCAAGCTGGTTGACCATGCATTGATTGGTAGTACTGATCCCCCGATAGAAAGTTTGTTGAATCATAGTCTCTGTCATGTCATTATTGGGGAACTCCTTGACCATTGTTCGATAACTCTCCCATATTTCATGCGACAGCTCATTGGGCTCTTATTTGAATGCTAGAATCTTGTCTCTAAAAGTAGCCATATGCCCGAGAGAAAAGAACTTGGAAATACATTTCTTCGCCAATTCATCACATGTATGGATGGAATGGTTTGACAATCTCTCTAACCAATCCAAGGCTTTCCCCCATAGATATAAAGGAAATAGCCTCAACCTTAAAGCATCCTCAGAGATGTTTGTCTGTTTACTCCCCCAACAAGTGTCCACAAATCCTTTAAGTTTTTGTATGCATTTTGACTCGGACCCCCGGTGAAGAATCCCCATTGCTCTAGCAATGTGAGAATTAAATTCATGATTTGAAAGTTGCCCACCCTTATGCAGGGCAGGACTACGACACTTGCATACCCTTTATTCGACAACACCTGATGTTGAGCCGCTCTTGGTGGAGGTGAGGGTGGAATTGGGACATTGTCTTGACGCTATCAGCCTCTTCTATTTGCTTGAGGTTCAAGAGGAACCTCTTCAACTTGGTCATCCTCCACTTCCACATCCCCCAAAGGCATGTTTCCGAGTTGATCATTGTTGAGGGCCATTGTTGCACCTATAATTGATTCACAAAAATCAATAACACGGAAGGAAAAGAAGACAATTCACACATAAAACCAAATATATAGCTAAATTCGTTGTTAGCTCTCCACCAACGATGCCAAAATTGATCTCGTCCTAGTCACAACTCTATTTAAGGTTGTGAAACGGTCGATGTAATAGTAATACCCAACAAGGAGTCGGGGTCGATTTTTCATAGGAAGCTATGAATGGGACTTAGGAGTATATACTTTAGTGAATGAGCTTGAATTATCTCAAATTGCACTTCCACAAAATTGGGTTGTTTTTAAGTCTAAGTTAAACAAAGATTACCAACTAAAAATTAGAACGAGGAAATTGTTTTTGTTGTTTTTCAAATGATATAAAAGTCCTAGGGCTACGAACTTTACCTAGGTGTTTGCCTGACGGGTTGTAGACTTTAAGCTTGTTTTTATTGGTCAGGATGTATAGCTATCAACACTCGAGTGCCCACTCAATACCTCTCAGTAAAAGAGTGATTTTTGACAATTTAGCTTTCTCAAGTCCAAATGGGTATTTAGCAAACAATTGATACAAAGCTCAAGTCGGGTTTTACTATCTCAAGGTTCAACCCTTTAATTAGGACTATCAATATCTTGAATTACCAAATTTCTTATTAGCCAAGTTTTCCTAGACTAAATCTATCTTTCTTAAGTAGACACCAAGTCAAATAGGCATGAACTAATCTTTGCAACCATTAATTCTATAATTAAAAGCAAGAACAAGGCTAAATAATAAATACCCAACCATAAATAAGAAATAAATCAAACACCCATTAGGTTTACACTCTAGGGTTGGGTCACAACCCTAGTGACAATCTAGCTACTTATGCTTAAATCAGAAGAAATAGAATAAGAAATGATAATTAAACCCATAATGATAATTTAAATAATAAAATCTAAGTTCACAAAGCTCAAAATGACAAAAACTACTAAAGATGGTAAAGAAATACGTCTACTATTGCTGCTGATATTCAAAACTTGACCTAAAAATGTGAAACTCTTCTATTTATACAAAGCTGGAATTTAAAAAAAAAAATACACTTTCGGAGGTTCTGCGGCCACACAATTCCATATGCGGTCCGCACTTTGCTTCAGCTTAATAGGATTTGAATCTTGCAGCTGCACAATTATGAACCGCGGCCACATCTCTCTTTTTCTGCGGTTAGCAAATTTTTGAGTGCAGCTGCACATGGCTCTTCTGCGGACCACACAAATGCAACTGCAGCCGTGTAGCTGATCTTCTGCGGCCGCACAATAATTGTGCGGTCCACACTTTCTTTGAACTTGATGTAAACTCTCTGAACTTTTGCTCTTGCTTAGCTTCTGCAGCTGCACATTTCATGTGCATACCTCTTTTCTCACAATCCTCTTATGTGTTTGCTTCACAATCTGCGGCCGCAGATGATATTCTGTGGTCCGCACTTTGAGCTTCTATGCCTATTTTTTTCCTTAAGTTCTGATCGCTCGTTCTTGAGTTGGATTTCATCTAAGTAGCTCGCTTTTCAATACTCCTGCAATTAAGCATATTTCATCAATTTTTCGGAAATATTTTCGACTAAAACGAAAGCAAAAAGTGCTAATAAATAGTCAAAATCCGCACTTATCACCCGGTAAAGCATTGCGTTGGTGAGCCTGGTCTCGCAATCGAGAAGAAGGATTTGGAGTTGGAGCTGAGATTGTGATTCGCAAATGCGAGGCACATGCCGCATCACGAAAAAGGATGCCTAGGAAGATTATATGTTAGCCAAGTCGGGATTTTTCTCATTTCAACTCATTTCTCTCCTGCTTGGCGATTTTTGGGCGATTTGGAGGAGTCATTTTTATCATCTATAGTGAGGTAAGTTATTCTCACTTACTGTAAGTCAAATACAAAGATTATATATGGATTTAAACATGTAATTTTATAGAAATTGTGAGATTTTGAAAGAAACTCTAGAAATGGTAATTTTAGATTTTGACCACGAAATTTAACATGGAATTGAGAATAAATTATATATTTGAATTTATGGTGCTATACGTAATGTTTATCTTCAGTGAGGCCAGGTGTTGACATTGTTGACTTTTCGAGTGGAGTTGAAAATTGTTAAAAATTGCTAAATTACTAGTCTTTGAGTATATTTTGATTGGTTTGCATGTTGTATGACTAGTTTCGGATCGTTTGGCATTGGATTGAGGAGTTAGAGAGGCATTGGAGCCGGTTATCAAAATTTGGAGTGAGGTAAGTCTCCTATCTAACCTTGTGAGGGGGAAATTACCCTATAGGATCATGCGTAATATTTGATAAGAAGGCAGTATACCCGTGAGTTTTCTGACTTGAGATGTGTTATTTTATGCGTGTTGACCGTTATGTATTCCATTCGAGGTGATATCCGGTTATCGGGGACCTCGTGTTTATTCTTCTGTTGAGGACAATATTATTTACTTATATCTGTTTCGTTGGTTTTACCTACTATGCCTTATAACTGTTTGCTTTCATTATACCTGATTTATTGGACTACTAGTAAGTGTCAATATCGACCCTTCATCACTACTTCTCCGGGGTTAGGCTATATACTTACTGGTAAGCGTTGATTTACGTACTCATGCTATACTTCTTTACTAATTGTGCAGGTACTGAGGCAGGTTCCTTTGGTGACCATGTTGGTGCATAGGCGCAACTGATGAGAAGACTTTATCGTGAGCTACATTCCATGTTACGATCCGCAGCACATAGGGTCTTCATCATATTCATTTATTTTATCCTGTTTATTTTACATTCCAGGCAGATGTTGTATTAGTATTGTACTTCCTAGTAGATGCTCATGCACTTGTGGCACCAGGTTCTGGTGATCGGATTTAAATTTTGCTCGTAGTTGTTATATTCTGTCTAATTTCGGGTTTACTTTTCAACCACATTAAAATATTTAAAATAATAACATCTGTCCTTTGTATGAAAACGAACGAACTTTCGCTCTTTATTTCTTTAATTGTTTTGGAATGTGTTTTGGATTTAATATTGACGTTTTGATTTAGTTGTTGGCTTGCCGAAGGACGGTGTTGTGCGCCATCACAACCTATAGTGGGATTTGGATCGTGATATATATGCGATGTTTGGATGATGATTAAGGTTGGCTAGCTCGCGAGAAGGGTTTGCGGGTATCGCTCGATGGTCACAAGGCCCGACATTTTGGGGAGTGACAGATACAACATTTAGCTCTCTAATGGCGTCTGTTGACATTGAAGGACATGCTATGCGCGCTTAGTATAGGAAAACGTTATGCATGTAACGTTGTGGAGTTAAGTGTGCCATCTGTGGACTCTTGTAATGTAATTTATTTGTTATTTAGCATAAAGGCGTCAAATGTGCCTTAATTTGGAGGAAGCAATTTATAATCCTTCTCATAACTGCATTATAACTTTTGGTATAGGCCTTTTGACTATAAACTGGAAGGATTTACTGGGGAAAAAAATTAACCAAAGTGGCCTCCTTGTTCTATAAACTAAAATAATTTATTAAACCTGGCCAGTTTAATAATTTCCTTTTTTTCTCTTCTACATTGCAGCACCATATTTGAGGTTAAATGCAAATCATGTTAACAAGTTTAAAAGCAGATATGCAAATTATTCTTTAAATTCTGTATGGAATAGTAATGAAGAATCTCCAGCGGCCTTCCATTTAGCTGATGCTGTAAAATAAGAGAAAAGAGAAGTTAGAAGAACATTAGCAAAGCTACAAATAATTAAGCATTAACTAAACCAGAATATACTTGAAAATAAATGTAGCAACTAGCAAATATCATTTAAAAGGATATTACATAACCCAGGAAACGAAACAAACAAAAAAGTAAGGAGAATAAAACCAAAAAAAAAAAAAAAGATTTACCTTATATATACTTATTACAGTAAAAGAATCTTTACATTATCAAACTACAAGGTTGTAGCACGTCTGCTGCTAACTTTTAGGTTATTAATTTCACTTCTTGTGACAGATTTAAATTTACTAATTCTAGTTTAGTTTTACCTCATTTACTATAATGTGCAGTTTACCGCGCGAACCATGCTTGCTCTAGAACATCACAGGTAGTAGGTTGTTTAATTACCTGTATAGAAAGTGAATTTTTTACTAACAATTACCTATAGTTATTTTTTAGGTGACTCGATACGATAAATATTGTTATACTGCAGTATATAGAACTTTAAACTCTAAAAATGGAGATAAGAAAAGATCTAACAGTTCACAATTGAAGCTTCTTGAAATTGGAAAGTCAAGTTTGATCCGACATTTCTGAGGAAGAGTTTGAGCTGCATCCTCTTTCAGATTTGAGTAACGCTTAGCAGCATTTTTGAGACAGATACATACTGTTCTCTGATCAGTCACCGTTAGAGCCATCCCTTTGAGATTTCTGACACCATTACAGCATGCAGGATAAGGTTGTACATCTTGAGTAAGATAAGTGATGCATGGGGCCAAGGAAGTTTCAACTTCACCACAAAATACTGTGGCTTGTCCAGGTTGTACCATGAATTGGACCAATGTTAATATGACTATCACCAAGATTACAACATTTTCCATTTTTTGAACTTTCATGTTGAGAAAGATGTAGAAGTTAGTTTGTGGGTGCTTGGTTGGGATTGGGGTGTTTTATACTCTACAGGATCAAGGACGGAACTAGCGTGTAAGTAGTGGTGGCAAAATGGATTAAAAAAATAGTTATTCATTAATATTATCCACTAAAAAACGAGTTGGATAATTCAATGGGTTTAACTATTACATTTGCAAATACTTAAATTGGGAATTTCTTAATTTTGGGAGACTAAGAATTCTCCCAAAAGTGATCATATTTAAAAAATCATGGATAATGCTACATTATATGCCGACCTGTTTTTAATCCGCCCATATCCCACTCCCCCCCTCCCCCGCTTTTCCACCCCTATGTGTAGGTTATGCGCCGAATACGATAATTTTGGTCCAAATTCTATACTTGTCGCTTAAAAAATTCATTTGAATATATGTAAGATTATTAATTTAAAATACATTAATTAAAAAGAATTAAAATTTCGAATTCGTAAGCTTTAAATACTAAGTTCGCCTGTTATTTTGACATTTTGGAACAAACAACATATATATTATTGCTGTTATAACTTGTTAATATTAGGCTAGTAGGAAAAAGTGTGTTATCCAATTGGTAGTTTACAAAGGCTTCAAAGACCTTGTAATGGGGGATACGTTATGAGAAGAATTGGTGTGAAATTTCGGATGGAAATAGAAATTTGCCAACGAAAAGGAAGTAACTCCATTTAAACAATACTTAAAGCCTTTGATAGTATTTGACACTTGGCACGTGTATGTGTAGGATTTCGCCCACCTTTTCGTAACACTCCGTAAATTCGGATTAGGTGTAGATGCGTTAAATAAGTATTAATATGACCTTTCAGACATGTGAGGTCTTATTGGGATGAGTATGGGTGGAAACAGTTATTTTGGAATCGAGATAGAAAGTGAGGTACATAAAATTCAATAGAATCAACTACGTTTATGGGAGGTCCATCTTACAGCCTTAGATAGTGCAAGGCCATGAAAAATCACAGCCTTAGACAGTACAAGGCCATGAAACCTCACGGCCATAGACAATGCAAGGCACTGTCCAGGGCATTAACCTCAGTACCCCAGAAAGTGCAAGGCACTGTCCAGGGTATTAACCTCAGCGCCCCTAACAGTGCAAGGCACTGTAATTTTGGTGCCTATGATGGCGCTTTGCACAATTATTTTGGCGCCCCTGATGATGCCCCGCACCGACGATATTTATCCGAGCTACTTTTATTTTCTCCTCAATTTTTGGGATGTGTACACTTATTTAAACTCTACCTCGTTCCCTACAACCCCAAACACGTACATTTTCTCTAGAAAGGGTAGCTCTCAAGAACCCAACTTCCCCAAGGCCCCTCCATCATCCAAGGTAAGTTCTAACGATGATTCTAAGTTAATTTCAATTCTCTAACACCTTATTAACATGGGTAAATTCTTTCAATCATTAGATATTCGATTGAGGCATCATTGTTGAGAAAAGAAACCCTAGAACTCGAATTCAAGAGGATTGAACATAAAAAAGGTAATGTTTCTACTACCTAATCATTTATAGCTATGAATTGATGAGTTTTTGGGAGAATAGTAGATGAGTTTGATAAAGAGAACCATAAGAACTATGCTAGTGTTTTGGATTGTTGACTTAATATTATTATAATCACTTGCGTGATGAGATTAGTTACATCTATTTGGGATTGTAGTATTACCTGGATGTAGTAGAATGATAATTGGATGAAGAAAACACCATTAATGAGGTCTATGAGACTTTATGCCCAAAGGGTGTTTGATAGAATTCCTATGTTACTAAGACAAGAGCATTAGTGCTAATATTTATTCCTATATATATATATATATATTCACGTAGATTATCATTGAAAGAGGCGACGAACATTGTGATACTCTTAAAAAGGGCCAGAGTTAAGGTACGTGAGGTTAACTTTCTATGTTTGGGAATGTTAATGATTCTTCCTAAATCACATTTTTTTACGACGTTACTAATTACCTCTGAAATATAGTTAAGCCTAATTCCTCTAATAGTTGCAGAACTTCTATTCTTTAGCTTCATAACTCGTTCATAACTTTAATTCTGGACATTGTTAGCTCAGTGCGTAATCAATATAGACTTGAGTTTGATGCCCATGAGTCTTAGTCTAGATTACTTAACATATCATAAAATATTAAAGTTTCAGTGTTGACAATCAGTTCAAGAATACATGTCTCAGTCTAGTCCTATTCAGTATTCCAGTATCATGTAACTTAGTGTCATGTAGTATTTCAGTATCATGTATTGCAGTATGATTCTCAGTTCTTGGTTTTAAATCCCTGAATGTTGAACATCTGTATTTAGGCCTAAGGCCGCAGTTTATGCTTTATGCATCTTTGGGCCTGAGACCGCATTTATGTATACGTATATTTGGGCCCAAGGCCACAGTTTGTGCACATATATATTGGGCCCGAGGCCGTAGTTTATTTATTCAAATAAACAGGTGGTTCATCATTTATAAGAGGGAGTATTCATATCTTTACTTCCTTTGTTCATTTCAGTTACCAGTTATTAGTTATCATTTCAGTTTCAGTTACCAGTTATTAGTTATCACTTCAATTTTCTGTTATCAGTTCTCAGTTCTGACGTCCCTTTCTCCTGGGGCCTGCACCTCACAATGCAGGTAATTATTTTTAGATTGACGATTTTGAGCGCTAGGATTCTCGTACTAGCTAATTGGTGAGCCCCAGTTTTTTCGAAGCATTATAGTTACCTTATAGTCTTTAATATTTTCAGCCAGTCAGTATTTTCAGTATTTCATTAGAGGCTTTATAGACTAGAGTAAAAGTTAGATAGAGTCACAAGCTTTTCATGTTAAGCAATGTTGACTACAGATATGTTTCAGACTTGTATTAGTGTTTTCATACTTTGATTTATATCATTCGGACTTTCAATATATCAGCATGTGTTAGCTTATCTTCAGCATTCAGTATGTTATGATATCACATGTTAATTCAGCCAGCCAGCTGGTTCGCTCGGTCACATGTAGTCAGGCACCGAGTACCGTGTTACGTCGAGGCCAAGGTTCAAAGCGTGACATGTCAATGTAGGATAAAATTAATATTATTATCTCTTTTCAATTCTAATTTTTTCTTTAAAAAAAAAAAAGAAAGAAAACAGTTAGCACACATAGCCTGTTTGAACAAGTATTATTTTCAAAATAGACATGATTATTTAAATAGGTTTGTGCTAAGGTCTATCGCGACCTTGCCGCCTCTTGGCAAAGTATGTTGATGAGCAAACCCACTCCTATTGTAATGATGTGAGATGTTAGAGTGCAAAGTAGGTTGATGGGCGAACTCGCTCCTATTGTAATGGCGTAGGGTGTCAGAGGTTGACCCATGGCCAACTCAAATAGCTGAAGTTTGACCCAAATCTTTTTGGTTGTTAAGTTATAGCGAGATTGAACAACATCAAATCCTTCGATTTCAGAATAGACATAATTAATTATCTGCATATATGCAATCCAAACATTTAAACCTCCTGTCAGTAGCCTTATATATGTGTCGTTTTTTAGGATTTCAAGTACTCCCTTGATGTATCAATTTAAACTAGGTATTTTGAGTCGGCACAAAGTTTAAGAGAACAAAAAAACTATTGAAATTTATGGTTCTAAAAGCTTAAGAGGTAAAGAGTTTGTGGGGTCATGACTTATGTAGCTATAAAATCTTCTTATTAAGGATAAAATGGGTAAAACAAAAATTTTAAAGTTAAATTATTTTCAAATATTAAAATATGTACTTTTTGGAGAAGAGGTATTTGTTTCATCAATCGAGTCACATGTATCTAACATATTTCTATACGGTAAAATCGGAGGGTCCAATTCCTCGTCATCGAGGCACCTCAGAAGATCATCCTAAAGCCTCGAGGCTACAAGGCTATGGTCGAGTCTCCTCCCTCGAAGTTCGTCGACACCGCCCGAACTTGGGATAATGTCGACTACAGTTGTGATAGAAATGGGAAGTTACCAAGGTACACGGCTAGGACTAACAGAGCCTAGTGGACTACTTTGACCCTGAATCAGGGTATCATCTAGCTGTCTCATCCCCCTATCTTTGTAATTAATGCATCTTGTACTATGTTTGGATTCCCTTCATATATAAAGGGGATCCTTATCATTTTAGAGGGTTCCGCTGTTGCTTCAGTTGCTCCACAAGAAATATACAAGAAAATTATCTTTGCTCTCTAACATATTCTTTGATATTATTGCTCCCATTTATTATATTCATTATTGTTTTCATCATTGTTCTTCATTTATCGCTTATTATTGGCTATAAGGAGCTTTCATTAATTTTACTCCAACTGTTAGTCATACTTCGATTACCTTCAATAGCTTCCAGCCAAGCTCCGGAATCGACCTCGAGGCCCCCGAATCGACAAGCTCGAGGCCCCGATTGTTAGCCTATCGGTTTGATTATCACCCTACCCTTAACTCTCATTTCATTCCTAAGTCTCACATACATAGCATCAACTGCTTAACAAACTAGCATAAAAATAGATCGTGTATTTTTAGAATCTCATAATCAAATTTAATTATTATTACCATTTTTACGGTAAACAGTTTGGCGCCCACCGTAGGGCAAAAAATAATAGTGATTATTTTCTTGTTGGTTTTACAACATAACACAAGTTATCTTTCACGCATTCTCTTGTCCAAGATCTTCGATTTCAAGTAGAAATATCTAATTCAGTGAATGGAGGTGAAAACAACAATCTTGTGGACCACAGAGAAAACGGTGTAGTTGTTCCAGGTGTTGGTCCACGAAACCATGGGAATGCACCAGAACCAATCCCCGTGGATGCGGTCTCACGCGATGCCAAACACATCGACATAAGCTCCCATACTAACAGGAGCGTGCACCAAGGAGACCGACAGGAAGCTCAGGAAACCCCGGCTAGGGAAGAACGAGAGGTTAGCCTTCACGTTATTTTTGAAATATTGCACGCACAACAGCTGGCTATTG